ACATCATTATCATTTTAAACATCAATATCAGTTATACATCATTATACATCATTATACATCAGTATCATTATACATCAGTATCATTATACACCATTATCATTATACATCAATATCAGTATACATCATTATACATCATTATCATTATACATCATTATACATCAGTATCATTATACATCAGTATCGTTATACATCAGTATCATTACACATCATTATACATCAATATCAGTATACATCATTATACATCATTATACATCAGTATCATTATACATCAGTATCGTTTCCACAAAGTATCATTCACACACAGTATCGTTATACTCCCGTGTGGTTTATCGTATCATATGATAATTTCATAGCCTCCCGAAATAGCCAGAGATTTCCTTTATTTCACAATGCAGTCCTGACCGTCCCCTTCATGAAGTACTTGATAGTGAAACCAATTTTGTTTAGTCATGACGTTTCAGATAATATCGGAAAGTCATCATTTCCTGAACGTAAAGTAAGACATTGTTTATCGTTGGCCAATGTCATCTTGTTATTAGTCATCGCTGGGAGTCCTATATCATGTAATTTGTCCTAGTCATGCGCTGAGTACGGTTGATTCCTAGAAAGTAAATATACGACGAATCTTAGAATCTATTCTGTCTCAGACCTTTCAATAAATAGTACACAAGCCTTTCCTTGGAATCTGATAGTGTTATTTAAATCACTTAAAGATTGTAAATAGTTGGATAGCCGATAAACACAATCTTTATAACAGTGTAGTAAGAAAAAAACGCTTAACATCATACTAAAATACCATCAAATGTCGTCAAGTGACCTGCCATTATATAGTACCGATTATCAGTAATCTTCAGAGCAACACTGGCTTTACAACCAGTACTTGTACTCCTTTTCTAGAGCCTCATCTCGCAATCTGTGGTCAGCTGTGGTCAACCCCCCCCCCACCCACCCTTCCAACCCCCCTCACGACTTCCGCCCCTCCACCATCTTCCACATCCCTGTGCTGACAATTTGTCACTTTTTCCAAACGATTAATTTCACACTCCGTTATTATATAAAGTTTTACAACTCATTTGTATACAAGTACATATTCTCACGTTGTATATGGGACATCATTAAGGATTTTCCTAAATAAGTGACATCATACACAAACGCACTGAATGAATTTGCGTCTCTGACTGGTAATTATTATAATGTATATTCGCTGTCCTGGCGGGAAATGAAAATAAAAAAAACTAATAAAAAATGGTGAAGATTACTGTACATTAGCATTGCCTGACGGTAACCGGTATCGTCCTGTATCTACATGCTGTATCACACGCCCACGCCAGTGAACATCACCTCATCCTCTAAGGCCAGTAAGATGTAATTTATTTCAATCAGACTAGAATCAGTTAAATGATTTTTTTCTTAACCTACCATGCTATTAGGGTCTGAGATACATCGATCAATGCTGAGCTATGAGCAGATCGGAAATCTTTGAAGTAAAGCTGACCACAAAGGAATTAGCTCAGAATGATTACAGAAAAGGTGTATTCACCTTCTTAAGTTGAGCCAGTGGGTTTTAAACATTATTTTCTTGTGTGACATGTGACTATAGATATTATATAGATGAGATCACTGTACACTGTCTATTAAACAGTATCACGTGTATAATTCTATCGTGGAATTTTCCCGGATTCCGAGATAAAACTTCCTTGTAGTATTCAAGGTGCGGGTGTATCGGAGTATAACATTCATGGAATATAACGAAATTAGACCCGAAATCACAAAATACGTGAAATACTTGCAGTGTCAATATAGGAACAAATGCGAGGCTCATTTGCTGCAGGCATACCTACAAAATGCATGTACCTACCCAAGATTTTCAGAAAATCATTTGGAGATAAAATATCGATGTCAAATATATAAATATAGAAAAAATGAACTTCAAAAGTCATCCAATTAAATTTATTATCTACTATCGTGTCTCTCTCTGAAATGATTAAAGAAACCAGACAGTAAAGATATAGGGCTATACTTATTGACTGACTTCCAACTTCCTCCGAAAACTTGTCACACAGAATACACGAGAATGCTCGATTTCATCAAATATACCTATCACACAGAATACATCATTCTCTATAACATACTATACACCTGTCACAAAGAATACATCATTCTCTATTACATACTACAAACCTGTCACACAGAATACATCATTCTCTATTACATACTACAAACCTGTCACACAGAATACATCATTCTCTATAACATACTACAAACCTGTCACACAGAATACATCATTCTCATATTACATACTACAAACCTGTCACACAGAATACATCATTTCTTATAACATTATACATTTCTGACACGTAGAATGCATCATATCCTATCCCATCATATCTACCTGTCACCATATCCTACACTGTATTACACGATACATACCTTTAAAATAGATTACACCGTATCCTATCCCATCATATCTACCTGTCACCATATCCTACACTGTATTACACGATACATACCTTTAAAATAAATATCCCATCATATCTACCTGTCACCATATCCTACACTGTATTACACGTATCCCATCATATCTACCTGTCACCTACACTGTATTACACGATACATACCTTTAAAATAGATTACACCGTATCCTATCCCATCATATCTACCTGTCACCATATCCTACACTGTATTACACGATACATACCTTTAAAATAGATTACACCGTATCCTATCCCATCATATCTACCTGTCACCATATCCTACACTGTATTACACGATACATACCTTTAAAATAGATTACACCGTATCCTATCCCATCATATCTACCTGTCACCATATCCTACACTGTATTACACGATACATACCTTTAAAATAGATTACACCGTATCCTATCCCATACACGATCCTATCCCATCACACCATATCCTACACTGTATTACACGATACATTCCTTTAAAATAGATTACATCGTATCTTATCCCATCATATCTACCTGTCACCATATCCTACACTGTATTACACGATACATACCTTTGAAATAGATTACACCGTATCCTATCCCATCATATCTACCTGTCACCATATCCTACACTGTATTACACGATACATACCTTTAAAATAGATTACACCGTATCCTATCACCATCATATCTACCTGTCCTGTCACCTACACTGTATTACACGATACATACCTGTATTACACGATACATACCTTTAAAATAGATTACACTGTATTACGTATCCTATCCCATCATATCTACCTGTCACCATATCCTACACTGTATTACACGATACATACCTTTGAAATAGATTACACCGTATCCTATCCCATCATATCTACCTGTCACCATATCCTACAATGTATTACACGATACATACCTTTAAAATAGATTACACCGTATCCTATCCCATCATATCTACCTGTCACCATATCATACACTGCATTACACGATACATTCCTTTAAAATAGAATACGCCATATCCTAGCACAAAAAATGTATATCAAACATAAAAACCATGTCTTGCTTTTACGTACCTACAATTTGAACAAAATACACACATTGCAGTTACAACCAACATTATGTATAAAGTATCTGACAAATTGTTATTTGATGTAAACTTGGAACTGTGCATTTTTGATACTGAAGACGTTTAAGTTGACATCTAGAAGTGATATCTAGAAATTATATTATCGTTCGATTGGTCATTCTATACGTCATCAAAATCTGTGTTGGAACTCCCAACTCTTAAAGTGTATTTTAAATGTGATAACTTAGATGTAAATCAATCCATGATGTAATTTGCAGTATAATTGAAGAACGGTCGAATTTTGGAATCACCCCACCATCTGTGTCATCAGGTATTGCTACAGATGCTGTATATAAGAATGGACTTTGTTTGTGACGTAGATCTACTTGTGGTTTGTATTGCGTCCCAGATTTTTATTGTGACAATGTGTCCTAATCGATCGATAGCTACACGTGTATATGGGGCCAGAACCTTGGCTGTACTTCCTCCTCGTCAGAATAGGTCCAAAGTACGTAGCAGCAGTCCACCAACAACACCACATATTTCTGACTATGTTAGAAAAGACAAACTTTAACTTTCTGAATACAGTTGTGGCCATTCCTTTGTCGGGCTATTTAAACTTAATGGGTTGGGCCTAGACTATGAAGAAATCAAAGGGTGTGAAATGTACTTACATGTATCCATGACATTTACCTTATCAAAACAAAACTCCAGAAAATTGTTTTCTTTTTTTTTTCGAAATGTCAATTTAATTGGTACAAGTACGTAAATTAGTCTTGGAGCACAAACTGTTTTAAAATGTCCATAATAAAATGTTGTACGTTCTAATTATGTACCAGTTCGACAAACTAGTTAATTATAAATATATTATTAATATAGATCTACCTTGTGTAAGTGTATGTATATATATATATATATATATAAATTATCACGAATCATCTTCTTTCGTTTTTGTACTGTTGTGGCGCCTGTGTTTTGGTTCACCTAGTGCACGGTTCCTATTGAGAAATGTATATGCTCACGAGAAAGTACAGTCAGGGTTGGTTGGATTTCTTAGTATCCTATGTCAGATCACACCGTACATTCGGAAGTATTCAATTTTGCTTCAACAGTCAGATTCTAAGTAAGAGACACTAGAAAGCGTGGGTTGTTTGTTACATAAGTCTATCGCTGTGTACCGATTACAGCGCCCCCTGAACGAAACTACGCAATAAATGATTGCCTTTGTTTACCTACGCTAACACAGCGGCCATTGTATATGCTGGTTACTGTCCCCGTAGTGATTCAGTTAGACCCGTGTCCCCAAATAAACTCTCCACTAGCCTATCTGAGTCCACGGGTAGTGTTTACTGGGTACCCATGGGATTGACAAGTCTTTGTGGTGTGATTGTTGTGAAACCCTGCTGCTGATTCATCAGAATATGGCGGGGCCATTCGGTTCGTGCTGAGTCATCACATTGCACTGCGTCACAATATCGAACAGAAACGAAGTCCACAGGCGCAAAATACGCAACGAGCCGAGAACTGCCGAGTCGCATTTTTACTACGTAGAAACAGATCTACAAGTTTTCACACGGACTTCGAATCTAGAAGTTGGAGATTATTTCAGTGAATTATTCTAAGGAATACGTTTAAAACATCTGTGAAGTCTGTTTTGAGATAAATTCAAGAAAATGAGTAAAAAGGTGAGTATGATTCGTATGTCGGTCACCACGCTGTTGTACTACAAGTCCATGGCGTGCTAGCTTTGTTTACGTTTTTGTTGACATTCACAAATCCTGTTTGTATGTTTTAATTGAGCATTTCTGTACCAATTATCTCCACCAATCAGTTATTATTTGATGGTTTTTCATCGATTTGATACCTTATACCCGTATTTCTGGTGTTAGAGGCTTTGTTTACGTGTTGAGAATTTGCTGACCTGAACCCATTGTACAGTAGTTAGTCCACGTGACGCTTTTGTGAGCTTTCTGCGCAGAAAGAGTTTTCTCGAAACAGAATAAAAACGTGGCCATTTTCATAATATTGAACAAATACACACATAAACAACATTATGAATTATTTAATCATAAGAAAATTCATTTGTTCATCTTCCAATTTTTGAGAAAATATTTCGATATGAAGACTATTCTCAAATCCAGTAAGCGTCTATCAAGCATTACCGAATGTTTCCCTCCAAAATCAACTGATATTTTTTGTTTATTAAAAATTTTGAGTTTTTGTTATACTTCCACCAGATTTGTTATACTTTTTAAAATGTGAATTGATAAATTTCCATCACGCTGGCCTGTTAGTGTTACGTAAGATAAAAATATTCATTTGACAATTCCTAAAATGGTAAGCGTTTTAATCATTTTAAAAAATGAAAACGAAAAATTTATCAAGATTGAGATCAATTTTGACTTTTTAAGTGCACAAGTGTGTTTTGTATATATTTGCTATTTTGAGAGAGTGAGATACTGCTATTGTTTCAAAAAATCAATATTTATAATTTGTCACTCAGTGGTATTCAGATGAATTTTATTTCAAACTTTTTTGTTTATTTTTTTTACGATGGAATATTTTTTGGTTACATATGTTGAAATGATATTGGATGAAATCGATTTAAAGAGATGCGTTTAAAAGGAGAAGCTGGAGAAGAAACCTGTTTGATCATCAGTTCCGACACAAAAATCAATCAATATTATGAGCTTTTTTCACTGGCTGGTGTTGTCTTATTCATCTGTATGACTCACACAGCCGTTCCATTTTCGGATTGTATACTGTGGCTGGGCCGAGTCTCCGGGGAAGAGACGTAATACATTATTACAATGTGTGAAGGAATCGGTACACCTCCTGGAGATCGAAAACAATAGCTCTACTGTTGAATTGTCACTGAACAGGTGCTATTTATTCTGAACCTGTTTAACACCATGTTACTGGAATATTCTTAAATAAATAAAATGTAATGATTTCTTCGAAGCTAGCTGAGATTTTTAATCAGATAAATCTAGATAATGAAAATGAAGATAAAAAAATTAAATGAACAAAAAACAAATTAAATTCACAAAGAAAAAAAATACAATGTAGGGGTCTGCCATGCGTTTTGATATAATGATTGTTATTTTCTGCTGCCGAATCTTTCTACAGCATGAAAATACAGCAGTTGTTGAATTATGTTAATTTCTTTGTCTTCCACCAACATGAATAATTATAAAAGATGCAGTTTATCAATCACTCCTGTATCACACACGCTAACGAACTGCTGGAATGTTAGAACGTTTTATTCACAGACAGATATGTCGAGAAATATTTGTACATTGTCCCATGATCAGCAGTATTTTGTACCGATCGATTTTTGAGTGCCGCGTGTATAAATATATCTACCTTGTTTAGCAGATTCCTGTGACATTGCGGAGGTATATAAGAGTGTAAATAACCCTTGCAGATTAAGGTCAACGGTCTGTGTTATGTTGGCATCTCTCCCACGGCGCGAGGAAAACTATGTATCGACAGTATTAAAAATAACATATGAAGCTAGTAGATACAGGTAAACATAAGGTCTAATTATAGACATGATTTAAATGGAACTCGGGTGAACGCAGTGTTTATTGTTGTTATGAAATAATGGTTACCAACCACGCTAGAATCGCAGGAGGGTCGTAGGCAGTGACAACAGGAACACATTCTAGTGAGAAGAACCTGCCCAGTAACGGTTGCTATCATCAGCTGATATTGGGCATCATCCAAAATTACCAAGCACCTGTGTAGTTTAGATCTGCGTATTTGGCAGCCGCACGTATTTACGTCGAGTCAATTCATAAAACTGCGCAATTCGTTCTCAGCCATCATATGTACGTTTCTGATAAATCACTAAATTTGAAATATGAAAATGATATAGACGATTTAAACCGTACGTTTCAATCTTTTTAATATGTGTTTCGTTTGATAGATTGACGTATCTATAAGGACAGGAACTTTGTTTAGACTCTGCGGTAGATAAACACGTCGAGTCGTCGATTTAGTTTTTTGCCCATCTTGCAAAAAAAAAGAGAACATTTAAAATTCAAATGTTTAAAAATTCGAGCATGATCTTGTTTAAGTATGAGAATGTGAATTAAGGGGACGGTGTTTGTGCAATCCTTGTTTGACATGTAAAATAAATCACTTGGAATTCCCGGAATTTGTTTACGTCCTAATGGGCCGATTCTACGTGTTGTTGAGTTACTATTAATAAATCCTGTTATACAATGAAAAGGCAAGGTGAAAGATGAATCACATCAACGCGGTTTTTCCATCAAGCATATCCCAAGAAAAGACGATAAAATACTGCAATTACTACAGATAGGAGATTGCGTCAGTCAGGTGATCTACCATGATGTGATATAACCTGTAACTGTGTATTATATACTGGTTCAGACTCGCTCTGGTCACCAGGAAGTTGACATTTCCTCTGTGCTTGGGCAAGATTAAAATGTTTTACTAACGTTTTAGATATTTATTAAGCTTACCGAATATTTATATTGTACGTGTCATTGTTGATATTTGAAGCACAACAAACGGGTACCCGGAAGTCACGTTTGTTTGAAGTAATACAATAGGATGTGTCTCGTTATACTGCTTATGATTGTGCATTAATTAACGAGGGAACCGAAAATAAGATTGACTGGAGCCCTTTTTCCAAATAAATTAAATAAAAAATATTGTGCTTTTGTTAAGGTAGACTAAGACTAGGTATGAATGTGGCGACACGTGCTCGTTGTCACACTGAGACGTCAAACATTTCTCAGACAAAGAAATAGCAACAACACACGAAAGTAAATAATATATAAACACACAAGCCTTAAAATATTATTTCTTGATTTCATTTTTTGTCACATACCTACCCCTTCGCCGTTCAATATAGCGGAGACAAGGTTCCCATAACGTCATAATGAATCACTGTGACGTCACCAAATAAATTAATTTAGAATTAGAATATTGCCTATTCGAATTCGGTATAATTGTGATAAAATGATACATGATGAACATAATCATAAATGCGAGATTCCATTTTGTATGGGATTTATAAAACGAACCTTCGACTCATTTTTGAACGCTTTAGATAGCATTACGAGCACTCAAATCGGCCTTTCATTCATCCATGAAATGAGTTTAGACTTCCAACATTAGCCTTGGTTATATTTCGCTATTCAATTACTTAACTTTTCATATTTTTCAATTTTAGATTTTCATGTCGCTGGTGAAGTCAGAGAGCGAGCGGGCAAACAGAGTGCCAGTAGTGGTGTCCCATAACTCGCAATTAACCGATGACGAACTGGTGGCCATGACGGTCAAGGAGCTGAATCGAATACTGAAGGGCATGCCTCGAGAGGAGGTAGTGAAGCTCAAACAGCGGAGACGAACACTTAAGAATCGTGGTTACGCCGCAAATTGTCGGGAGAAGAGGTTATCACAGAAAGAAGAACTAGAGTACGAGAAGGACCATCTCCGGGCAGAAGTCCACAGATTGAGGAGGGAAAATGAAGGCGTCAAAACAGAACTTGGGTCACTCAAGGACAAATATGATGCTCTCCAGAGGTTTGCCGAAGCTAACCGCATCAAAGTGTTATCACCCCCGCTCATGTTCAGTCCCCCTCCTCATCACCATCACATGGACTCCATGATGGTGAAGTCAGAACCATCTCAGGCGTAGCTTCTGCTATGTTGAACTTGGTTTTCTGTGTGTACGTAAACGTGTTGGATTTATTTATTTGTAAACCTATGTTTTGAACGTTTGACTTTCTACATTGTGTAGTGATAAATGGTGTCCGTCTGTGTGTATATATGTTATCAGTGGAGATATTCGCTCAGTGTTTGGCAGGACTGGACTGATACACACAGTGTGTTCAATATGCATGTAACATTAGATCGGTAATGCCGAGGTTTAATCCTTTGTCAAGTGTCAGGACAGGAAGTGGACAGTTATCAACACAAACCTTATATTAATCAGAGAAAAAAATTAGTACTCCAATCAGCTGGAAATGTGCACGGGATTAAAGTTTGGGTATTACTGACAAGTCAATGAAATTCTCGTGCATCAGTGGTCTGTTTACTTGGCAAAGGTTTACATTTCTCAAAGTTAACGAAAAAATGATCAGAGATGCTAAAATAAAAGGCGAACGGTGCTGTAGAGTAGAAGATTTTTATACGACATTAACTGGTCATATCATGAAGCAGATTTTATATTTTGATACCTATTGCGTGTTCATCTTTTAACGATGGTTGTGTATTTGAATGTTTTGATGTCGAGGGGCGTGGTCAGACATGGTAAACTTGACCACGCCCATTCGTCAACATTTCTAAAACATCAGACAATGCAGTTCCAGCTGTTTGTATCATATTTCATCTCCATAGGAACACGTTTGTTTGTAAAAAATGTCACCCACATCATTAATGATTAGTGTTGATTTCTTAGGATTTGTAAAATGTCGAGACATGAAAGGGAAATCCAGTCCATTTGTCCACATCGAATGTCTATTTTTATGACAAAATGTATATATGATCATCATTCCATCAAACTGTATTTCCGTAGATATGTATTCTAATATGTCGGCTGTTAATATGATAGGTTCATCATAACACTTTCATTTATAAAACTTGGTAATCGATTGTGTTTTTCTGAAAAAAAAGTTTTGAAACCAAATGCCTGTACAAGTTCGCCAAAAGGTATTTTTTTATTTGAAAATTTTCTCTGGAAACAATTTATTTACATTGGCAACAGTTGATATTTGCCATAGAACACAATACTTTTTTCTCTGGCAGGAAGCTCTGAATAGTTCCATTATCTTACTGTCTTACAATTTGCATATTCTTGCCAAAAACGATTAGTACTTGATGGGATTGACATCTGTCCTCCATACAAAGACATGTATTTTGCATTTTGTTAATATCTGATATCTAGGTCTGAATAACTCTGTTACCTGATGTGTTCTCTTTTAGAATATTACTGAAACTGGGCAGATTCCTGTCATTGTGGGGCGATATTGTATAGAAATTGTGTTAATAACTGCATGGCAAAAATGGGCGTGTCCTCATTGACACACGGGTTTTTACTTTTGCCGGATATGAACATTCCAGTCAAAACAAACGTGTATGTTGTCAGTATTGTTTATCTTATGGAAATAGTGTGAAAATACCTGACAAGAAAGAAAGGTTATAGACAAGCTTGTTTCAAGAGAAGTTGTAGTGAACCTGATAGCCCTGTGTCACCACTATTTCCCATATCTGGTTGTTATATCTGATGCCAAATTTATGTTGATTTTTTCTTGGTTTGGTCACTTCGTTATCGTAATGAATTCATTTCAAGACATATACCCCCTTATCATTCCTGTCCTGTTTCGTTTGCGTGGGTCTTACGACAAAAAGCCTTTGCTACACAATGCGCTGCCTAACAGGATGCCAAAACATGCAACACAAATCGCTAACCAGTGTGAATCATCAGAGCCTGTGTCTGCCACTGCAGGCTGACGGACAGACTGGGATTACCCCGGCACTATGACGATGTTGGAGATTACCAATGACCGTATCACTATCTCTATAGTAGTATTCCTTCGCTGACGACAGGTCCATTTATCTGTTTTCAAACACATTTATTATTGTTTTAAATTACATTTTTTGCCGTCCATTTTTTCATTACTATTTAGTTTATGATACTAACACAATTTAGTTACTAACAAACCCCTCGTTATGTTTCGGGCACAACATTAAATTGCATGTTGGTACAGTTTGAGTTGGAATGGCGACTGTCTGCTGTAAGCCCATTGTTGAGCGTGGTGATATTGATTTTGGCGGTGGATGACGTCAGACTTGTATGACGGATGGGAGTGTACAGTGGTTAAAAGGAGAGAACATCGGAATGTACTACTACATACCATACCTACAAATATTTCACGCATGGTCGCATACATGAATCGTCTGACAGGTAAACTTCTGGGCGTATACACGGAACAGGTCGGTCTACCGATACAGCTGAATCAGCCATTCCAAAATATACATAATACAATCGAGCTTTTGTGACAAATTTGTCCGCTCAGCGAAAAAAAACATAATCTTAACGACGATATGGAAACGGTGACAGATTTAGATGAGAGATGACCTCGGTATGTAAATGTGAAACATCACGTTTTTGTAACGGTGGCATACTGAATGCAGACTTAGGTCTAGTTCATCTAATTGGGAACGAGTAACGAAACAATCGTGTCACCTGTTTATCACTTCATTCGTTTACATAGTGCTCCAATTTACCTAGATTAATTGAAAAGTTATAGACGTCTCAGAAAATATCTTTTTTGAGTACGGCTTTTTGCTAATTTGACTGGTCGAGGCAGATGTTAAATAAAGTACACAAAAGTTACAATGATCGATTTTAGGTTCAGCGAGAAGACCGATAAACTTAGATGACGAGACGAGAGTTATATGGGAAGACAGAAGAGTTAGATGACGAAACAGGATAATTAGATGACGAGACAGGAGAGTTAGATGACGAGACAGAAGAGTTAGATGACGAGACAGGAGAGTTCGATGACGATACAGGATAATTAGATGACGAGACAGGAGAGTTAGATGACGATACAGGATAATTAGATGACGAGACAGGAGAGTTAGATGCAGAGACTGGTGTGTTCGATGATGAGACCTTTGAGTTGGATGACAAGACTGATATGTTCGATGATGAGTTAGATGACAAGACCGTTTGAGTCCGATGACACCGATGTTTGAGGGATACTTTGTTACAGGATTCAGTGTGTTGGCAGACATTCCATTAGATTTTATGATTGTTTTTGACACGTTGATTTTTTCTCTTAAGAATGAATTATACGGGATTGTTTCCAAGAAACTTGTTATTATTTGAGTATAGTGCTTATATTATCGTAGTACATAAGATATATATATATGTATGTAGGCGTGTTTGTTATGTTTATCACGCTGTATATAACGTTCTTGATTTACGGTATCCGAGGACACTTTAGCTTGACCTATCCAGTGTAAGAATGATGTCAGCAGACGAAATCTCGTTCGGGTAATGTTAGTTGGTCTTTGAGTGATAACTGGATATTCCCTTTTACATGTTATTTTGATTTTAATTGTTGTTGATTGTAGAAAGTTCGTACATACAAATTATATACCTTCATCCCACATACCCAGTGAGTACCTTGGACAGGTGTTTGGACTCGTTATATCCTGGTCTTAAACATCTTGCTGTTAATTACACAATTTTTCAACTCTGAGTGATTGTACTTACGAGTCTGATAACTTATTTGTATAAACGTTTCCAAATTTGTTGAAATCCAAACACTTTTCTGGTTGGCCCTTGACTACTAAAATTCTGGCAAAGTTTCGACAAGGAAACCCAGGATTGGTGGGGCATCCAAGCACCGACAAACAAAGTTGTGTCAAGGTACTGATTGATAAACTGAAGTAACTGGTGACGAGTATGTTTATTTATACTCGTGCTGGTGACGAATATATAGATATATATATATACTCGTGCTGGTGACGAGTATATATTTATGTATACTCGTGCTGGTGACGAGTATATATATACTCGTGCTGGTGACGGGTATATATTTATGTATACTCGTGCTGGTGACGGGTATATATTTATTGATATACTTGTGCTGGTGACGAGTATATATTAATTTGACTTGTATGATACAATGTGAAGTGAACGGAGTGAATGGTGCAATAGACTTGTTTGTCGACAGAGTGGTGGTTTTTTCTCGAGGCAGCTCCTGTTTATTATTTTATCATGTTTTGACAGACAAGCTTGATTAGTGCTGTGTATGTTCAGATGATGGTTCGGTACTGTATCATTACAAAATGTTTTTCTTTTGCGTTTTTTTAATTATGTGATATTATTTATATATGTAAATATCCTAGACGTAGATATGTATTTGTCAAAACTTTTCCGTTTTTATAGAGTTTTATGCAAACGTTTCTATTCTGACTCGAATCAACTTAACTCGAACGACTTGTCAGAAAACGTGATCCTTTATTTAGAATTATGAGTAAGTTTAATAACGAGAAACAGAACAAACGAAATGCGTATAGTTACATACAAATACGTTCTATATAGACATTTAAAATTCATAACGTGTTTTTATTTGAAGAGTTAACACGTTCGAGAGAAGGCTGATGAGAGTGTGATAGTATGACAAGGTATACAGGAACTCTGTTAAACTGATCATACGATATCCCCAGGTAAATCAGTAATAACAGGTACACATAAGACTTGTTAGAAGCTAGTTTATAAGCCTTTTGATTCCAATAATAACAGTCGACAGAAGTCATGGGACGTTGAAGTAACGGGTGTATCGACGAAGGCAACAAAACTAGCAATGTTTGTGTTTCCGATTCAACTTCGAGATTCATTTCCACTGGCCTCTTAAAGAGTATTGATGTAAATAAGCTTAGTCTCTCTACCATACTGATTCATCACGTCATTGCGTCTGAGACTCTGGGATCATAGCATGGACGTGCGCGTCCTTTAGGAGAGAATGTAATTTATGTCTGTGTGTAAAAGATATAGAGTCCTCTTCATTTCCACATTATTCATTGTACCATTTTCATTAAATAAAGTTTGAAAACTAATTACAATTCCTGTTTTGTTTCCTGAATGATGATGACTTACGAAGATTGTCATTGATGTCGCACTGACGCGTCGCTCGTCTGTTAAAACTGAAAAACAAGACATACTGTCGAGAATAATCCGGAAAGTACACACGTTCATTTGAAACAATGATTAATCGGTAACTTGATATACATCTACTTAAGTCTATAACAGTTCATCTAATCAGGACACAGACAATATCCAACTATGCCTACCAAACTATAAGTCAACCTACATTGCTGAATTGCCAAAAAAGTCATCTCGGTACAAAGTGTGTCGATGAGATTGATGAGTTTTGACATAATATTCGTGGGACTTTATTTTGACTGATGTATGATATGTAATATTTGTGTGTCTTATTTTGACTGGTGATGATGTATGACATGTAATATTTGTGTGACTTTATTTTGACTGGTGATGATGTATGACATATAATATTTGTGTGACTTTATTTTGACTGGTGATGATGTATGACATGTAATATTTGTGTGACTTTATTTTGACTGGTGATGATGTATGACATGTAATATTTGTGTGACTTTATTTTGACTGGTGATGATGTATATTTGTGTGACATAATATGTATGACATGTAATATTTGTGTGACTTTATTTTGACTGGTGATGATGTATGACATGTAATATTTGTGTGACTTTTATTTTGACTGGTGATGATGTATGACATGTAATATTTGTGTGACTTTATTTTGACTGGTGATGATGAATGACATATAATATTCGTGGGACTTTATTTTGACTGGTGGTGATGTATGACATGTAATATTTGTGTGTGTTTATTTTGACTGGTGATGATGTATGGCCTGTATATTTGTGTGTGTTTATTTTGACTGATGTACTTTATTTTGACTGGTGATGATGTATGACATGTAATATTTGTGTGACTTTATTTTTACTGGTGACGATGTATGACATGTAATATTTGTGTGACGTTATTTTGACTGATGTAGGATATGTAATATTCGTGTGACTTTATTTTGACCGGTGATGATGTATGACATGTAATATTTGTGTGACTTTATTTTGACTGATGTAGGATATGTAATATTTGTGTGACTTTTATTTTGACTGGTGATGATGTATGACATGTAATATTTGTGTGACTTTATTTTGACTGGTGATGATGTATGACATGTAATATTTGTGTGACTTTATTTTGACTGGTGATGATGTATGACATATAATATTTGTGTGTGTTTATTTTGACTGATGTATGATATGTAATATTTGTGTGACGTCATTTTGACTGATGTAGGATATGTAATATTTGTGTGTCTTTATTTTGACTGGTGATGGTGTATGACATATAATATTTGTGTGACTTTATTTTGACTGGTGATGATGTATGACATGTAATATTTGTGTGACTTTATTTTGACTGGTGATGATGTATGACATGTAATATTTGTGTGACTTTATTTTGACTGGTGATGATGTATGACATGTAATATTTGTGTGACTTTATTTTGACTGGTGATGATGTATGACATAATATTCGTGGGATTTTATTTTGACTGGTGATGATGTATGACATGTAATATTTGTGTGACTTTTATTTTGACTGGTGATGATGTATGACATGTAATATTTGTGTGACTTTATTTTGACTGGTGATGATGTATGACATATAATATTCGTGGGACTTTATTTTGACTGGTGGTGATTTATGACATGTAATATTTGTGTGTGTTTATTTTGACTGGTGATGATGTATGGCCTGTATATTTGTGTGACTTTATTTTGACTGGTGATGATGTATGACATGTAATATTTGTGTGACTTTATTTTGACTGGTGACGATGTATGACATGTAATATTTGTGTGACGTTATTTTGACTGATGTAGGATATGTAATATTTGTGTGACTTTATTTTGACCGGTGATGATGTATGACATGTAATATTTGTGTGACTTTATTTTGACTGATGTAGGATATGTAATATTTGTGTGACTTTTATTTTGACTGATGTAGGATATGTAATATTTGTGTGACTTTTATTTTGACTGGTGATGATGTATGACATGTAATATTTGTGTGACTTTATTTTGACTGGTGATGATATATGACATGTAATATTTGTGTGACTTTATTTTGACTGGTGATGATGTATGACATATAATATTTGTGTGTGTTTATTTTGACTGATGTATGATATGTAATATTTGTGTGACGTCATTTTGACTGATGTAGGATATGTAATATTTGTGTGTCTTTATTTTGACTGGTGATGATGTATGACGTGTAATTTTTGTGTGACTTTATTTTGACTGATGTAGGATATGTAATATTTGTGTGTCTTTATTTTGACTGGTGATGATGTATGACATGTAATATTTGTGTGTGTTTATTTTGACTGATGTAGGAAATTTAATATTTGTGTGTCTTTATTTTGACTGATGATGATGTATGACATGTAATATGTGTGTGACTTTATTTTGACTGATGTAGGATATGTAATATTTGTGTGACGTTATTTTGACTGGTGATGATGTATGACATGTAATATTTGTGTGTCTTTATTTTGACTGATAATGATGTATGCCATATAATATTTGTGTGACTTTATTTTGACTGGTGATGATGTATGACATGTAATATTTGTGTGGCTTTATTTTGACTGGTGATGATGTATGACATGTAATATTTGTGTGGCGTTATTTTGACTGATGTATGACATGTAATATTTGTGTGACGTTATTTTGACTGATGTAGGATATGTAATATTTGTGTGACTTTATTTTGACTGGTGATGATGTATGACATGTAATATTTGTGTGTCTTTATTTTGACCGGTGATGATGTATGACATGGAATATTTGTGTGTCTTTATTTTGACTGGTGATGATGTATGACCTGTAATATTCACGTGACTATTTTGACAACAAAAATCACACGCGTTTGAACAGCACATTTTAATACACATTGAAAATTACATAAGGTATAGCCCTGTAATCAGTTACACTGCACACAACTATTTCGCCATTGTAAGACTCGACAGTGATGCTAAGGCCTAAATTCTGAAGCCTCGGCGATTAAAGAGAACCAAAACTGATAGAAAGAAATGTCGTAATCTCGATGGGGAGGCGTGTTAACTCCTTAATTCTATAAATTTTAATTTCTCTTTCGTCTGATAATTTCTGGAGAATATCAAATGTGCATTTTCTAAATAATGCCACTATTCTAATGAGTTCAAGCGTGACATACTGGTTACGTCAAACGTCGGGGACTTAAAAATCATCAACAGTGTCTATCACCTGATATCTCGAATCACACAAGAGAACAAGACCTTTTTAAAATGTAACAAAAATTAGCATAAGATACGGTAGAGCCAAATGGTTAAATAAACTTCATCATATAGCTGTCCTTTTTGGAGTCAGCAGTGATGATGGGGTCTTCAAATTTTAAACTTTGGAGGTGGTTGGAGAAAATTCAAAGCGATCGACAAAAAATAAATAAAAAAAAAAAAACAAGAAAATCGAAGTAATTGACGGTAGAATAATAAATTGATATATGGAATGTTTTGATGGAAACATTTTTTAGGATGGATATCCGATGTTGCTTAAAATCCTCATCCATTCTATACGACGCTGAAGTTTTATCAGTATGATACTTAGAATAGTAACAGAAAGTGATGGCGTCGTTGATGAACTAGTGTCAGCGATAAAAAACTTTTTCAAGACTATCTTTATCTTCTGACACCAATACGAATATGACGTGTTCATATGTATGTATGAATGTGTCAGAAACAGGTTCAGAAACGATGGTACTGGCCTCCTAGGCTTCAAAAATCAGATTCTTGGCAACATTGACGAGGCCAAGAAGGATGAAACAGCTGTTTGACGTAGCTTGATTCACTGTTTAGCTCTACTCTATTTAGTTCTAAATTTGTACTGAAAGTTTCTGTCGACTTATGTTTTTAACTATCCTTTGTAATGTCAAAATGTGTATGACGCCGCTCTGTGAACTAATACAGAATTGATATAGACGATTGCCGATCGCACGTTTCCTTTTATAATAAAATTGAGACTGAGGATAAAAAAGCCTTGTCTTTAGTCTTTAGTCCCTGATGTATTGCACTGCATTCTATGTCCGAATTCTTACTCTGCACAATATACACACATACAAAATGATCATTTTTTGACTGAATACTGTACAACCTATTTATATCTTATCTGTTAAGTCCCAGCTTGACTTAGAACTTCTGTTTGATTCACAGAGATTCGAAAGGACGAAAAAAAAAATAAAAAGTAAAACAAATGAAGCTATTTTATTTATGATCTCGCTTATATTCTTAAAGTGCAATCCCTTACGTTTTTATACAGACCTTTAGTGGCGGCCCATATAGATATTGATAACGAAACCTTAACACGTGTTTACACATGTGTCGTTTTGTTCATTGGCTTGCACTTGTACTCTGAAGTACACAACCCGATTTATGCTGGAACATGTATCATACGTCCCTGGTGTATGTTTGAAATCTGTATGCTGGGCAAACAAGAAAAATAAGGGAAATTCTATATCGATATATCAAATAACATTAGCGATTAAGTCATACTAGTTCAGAGGTGTCCTATAAAAAGACTGAGACCACAGGAGTATTAGGTGTTAGTTTACTGGTATAGTGATACATGGTCAGTAGAATAGTAGGATACAGTAAGTGTATTAGGTTGTTGGAAACTATGGAGAAGTTTAATGGCTGTCAAAGTGATCTTGGTAAGAAATACTCGATGTTTGATGCTCGTCAGTTTGCCTTATAATTTCGGACTTGTTTACCTTGTTCTCATTTGAAAAACGTTACATTACTGACGTGAATTGAACAAGGTTTACATGGCGGGTGTCGTCGATGAAGCAGAAGATGTTTACTCTTTCGGAATACCTGGTCTTATTCACCTCGCACCTTTTCCGGAGTCTCCGTGTAAATGTTTCGTTTGTTCAGATTTTGCTCTTGTTATGTTGTATTTGA